TGAAAATGTTATTGTTCTTAACACATTTTCCTTCCTCGGTGACTTTGTTTATTCTCTTTGTTAAAAGAAATGAAGCTAACAGCCCATGGTCGTTGCTAGATCTTCCTGAAGGGAGTTTCACCATTACAACAGTGGGAAAAAAGATTTTCTTTCACCTGTTTGTTTAGGAATTTAATGCCAATCAGTTTCACCAAGAGATGTTGACTTTTTTAAAGGTATTAAACCCCCCCCCCCCCCTCAGCCTAGACAAACAGTGCAGTCAATGTCTCCAATACTCACAAGTCTAGTTTTAGGCACTTCTTATGGAATGGAATTGTACAATTCTTTGCTGGAAGCTAATCAGCTTCTAATGATAGTATGCCCCTTTTCATCATTCATTCAAAGCCAATCTTGGTTTAATCAACAAGGGTACCTATTAGTTACAATTCCAAATCAGCGGTAAAGAAATCCCCCCTCTTGCTTTATAAATTGACTGGACTTCATATAAAAAGCCCTTAAGATATCAAAGCAAAAGCTAGAAACACAGTCTCAAGACAAGCTCTATGTTTATTTTGAAAGACATCAATGTACCAGTAGCCTGGCATGTATCTAAAGGAATCTGAAAATACTATCCCAAGTCTGCTGTGTATATATTTTTCAGCATGAACCATGGGCGTTTGAATACCAACATGAAATGCCCAAGGTTTAGTTCCTGGGCTTACTAGTTAAACAAGGTTGGGTACTAGTTGATGGGAAAAAAATTCTATATACATGAAAATAAAATATTTGGTAAGAAACACCAAATAAGAAATATTTGGTAAGAATTCAGAAGAACCTGTATAGGCTAATCTAGCCCACAAGGAGTGAAAACTGCAATCAAAGGTCTAAAGATGAGCATTTTTCAATCCTAATCTAGAGATTAATTCTGTAAGCATCCAAGTTCACATTGTTCTAAGACAGGCTTTTCAGCTTGACTTTGCTGATTAAGCCACAATTGGCTGGATTCATGGATCACACTCAGCCATAAATCATGGCTTACAAAACACAACAGTTGAGTTCACACATCCATTCAGCCAGGGTGTTCTCAGCCTGAGCTGCTTTAAGACAGCTTTCTAGCATCCTGTGTTTAGCCACAGGAACCATGCTACGGATGGATTCTACTAGCTACAACCTATTGACAAGCCCATATTGCTTGTGCAAAGAACAAACACAGATTCTATTCTATTCTATTCTATTCTATTCTATTCTATTCTATTCTATTCTATTCTATT